AAGAAAGAAAGAAATACCAAAAGGTTTATATCTCTATTTGGAAATTTTCGTAAGGAAAAATTGTTTCACAAAATTGATTATGATCATCCTTATAATAAATAACAACGAAGAAACACTAATACTAAGCAATTTAGAGTTAATTCGATTGTTTTATCTTTCGATGGTTTTTTGAATATTTAAAGACACATATTAAAATGAAACCTTAAAAATATAAAAAGAAATTGTCGATATAAATAGATATTTATAAAAATAACGTAATAATAATAAAATAATGTGTTCTATTTTTGTTTTATTGAGAAATTTATGGTAAGGGAGCATTGAAAAAATAATATCCTCTTCAGAATGCATTTGCTCTGACTGTTCATAAAACCCAAGGATTGACCCTACCACACGTAACATTGAACATTGATGAAAGATGAATTACAAAATGATGATTTATTATATTCAACAGAACTTCCATTATCAGCATAAACTGATAATTTAAACAATCATTTAACAACAAAATACATGGTATATTAATTGTATATTATTTTAGTATAAAGATAGATGTATTACACACATAGATTTATTATAGATATATCATTATCGATTTATTGATTTATTATTTTTATAATTCTGTCGATTCGTAATAATCGTAATAATGCGAGTATTCGTAATACTTTCGAGCATTCGTAATATGCATGTATTGTAATACTTTCGAGCATTCATAATAATGACAATTGGCAATTGGCATATAGATATTATTATTTTAATTAAACTTTAAAAATTTAATTACATTTAAAATTATCAAATTTCTAGTGACAGTGCGAATTTTTAAATAGCTTAACCGGCCAAATTAATTAATTAAATGATAAAAAAAAATTTTTATCTTAATATTCATTTTTACATCTGGAGTTTTAATGCAAAATTCGTGGCATAGATAGTCATTTAGTTGACATGGGTCGTCCATCTGCATTATTTAGAATACATTTGCTCAAAAATAAAATACGATACTCGTGACAGGATAAAAGTTATCTTTAAAAGAC